CAGCCGGAAATTTAGATAGGTTGATCGTGCTAAGTCGACCCGCGGCTCTTTTTTATAATTGATCGATTGTGCGCGTATGCACTTGAATATTGGGTGAATGAGGAAACGTAATTTTTGCAGAGTGGATTTAAGGTGATTCGATGGACGCCATATTTTGTGTCAAAACGATTTATCGCATCGATTGGTTCCATTTTTTCAGCTACACTGGGAAAAGAAACACATTGGATCTAGAGTTCAGACTCTTGAAAACATTCACAAGAAAAAATACTCTTGATTCAATCGGATTTTTGCTTGATCAAAACGAAATGAGCTTAAATTCAGAGGCTTGGTTCTTAATTTTAAGCTAGATTCTGATTGAATCAAGAGTACTTTTTCTTGTCGATGTTTTTGAGAGTCTGGACTATAGATCCAATATGCTTTTTTTCTAGTGTACTCGTCATTTTCTCGAATTTTGAGATCGCAATTCTTTTGTCAGGATACTAAAGAATTCGCTTACCAATTTCGACAAACAAATTCTACGTAATATAGACGTGGTTCTTTTAGAGGGAAAATATCGCATTCGAGTGCAGTTTCGATGCCAGTATCGAATGCAATATTTTTCCTCTAAAAAAACCACGCCTTTATTAAGTCGAATTTGTTTGTCAAAATTGGTGATAGTGTATTCTGTAGTCTCCTGACAACAGAATTGCGATCTCAAATTTCGAAAAAAAAATGAGGAAATGGAACTAATCAATTCGATTTATCACATGTCGTTCTGACACAAAATATAGCGTCCATCGAATCACCTCAAGGTTGTTTTTCCGTACTCGTTAAATAAAACCTCAGTTTTGCCACCAATTTTTTAATTCTATATTCATGGCAGCACGGGAATTTCTTAGCTAAAAATTATATCATAAGAAGTAAGTTGTTATTCTGTCACGATGTCACGTATTCATAAAGCATGTTGATTCTGACGGAAGAATATCACCACAACGCATTGGATTCATTCTCGTAACAGGCGTTCGAATACAACTATTCGCACTCAATGGATGTGCGTGTTGCATATCAAAAAATTGAAGGCGTTTCTCTTGACGACGTTTGATAGCAACTATGTTCATGCGCTCTGGGCGTGCTTCCTTTCAGATGAGCGTCAAAGGGATAGAAAATCTCTATCCCTCCGAGTCTTTGGTAACTTTTTCATCATTTGGACAAGTGGTCTTACTGTTGGTGAAAGGTCCCATCCAACATATTCTCAGAATTTCCATCAGGACGAAAGTTCTGAACAAAAAGAGAAGAAACTTGCTCATCCATCCTCATGATATTATGTCTCCAGAGAAATAAAGAAAAACGAGTGGTGTCACTTCGTGAACGGCAAGGTTTGGAATGACTTAGAGTGTAGCTTTCTACCTCTGAGCCATACTACCAGCGGCGAGGAGTGAATGATCGATGATCGATTATCGATATCTCCCTTTTGAAACTATGGTAAAGAATCGATCATTAAAGTCTTCGTTGTGCACAACCTGTATATCGACCCTATTCCATTTGTTAAATGTCAGATAAATGTATATATCGCAAAGCACGTCATGCCACTGCAAACAACATATATCCGTAAAATGATATTTCATAGCCGCAATATGACAATATGAGCACTTCGTATTTTTGGTTGAAAAATTGTTAGGTTCTTATTTGTCCCTTGGAATCGGCAGCGCCCGGAAGTTTTGCACGCAGTTTTCCGGGAAAAGTATAAAGGGATGGTTGTTCGTCAAAAGTGGTCGGAGACAATGTGAACGTATCAAGTCACTGAACTTTAGAGGTTTTTGTCTCGTATAAATTGAGCTTACGTTGATATTCTTCTCCCTCGAACTGAGAAAAGGTATTCGGATCTTGAAAAGTATTGCTGTGTGATTTCAACTTTTGATTCCAAGAGAAATCAACGAGACATTAAAGTGTCTCATCTCTATACCGTGATTCGTGTATTCCAAGAACTGGTCCTATCACGATTAATTTTCGTTGATTTGGGTTGAGTGGCAGTGCCTCACTCGGCACTGCCACTTTAAGAAAAAAGTCAAGTGAGCATTGAAGTTTTGCCAAATTTCCCTATAGGAATAGTATTCATCAATGACAAAATTCATGCGAGCATCTCTTTGAAATTTTGAGGTACCTGAATTTGGCAGAAAAACATACGTTAATTTTTTTATTTTTTATTTTTTTTTGGAAAAAAATGACGCAGTGTAGGTACTTTATCTGAGAAAATTTAAAAACGTCGGAATATCCATACAGGTTTTTTTTCTAGGAGAATACTAATTCCGGAGCAGCATGAGCATTATACCAAGCTTTAGAACTTATTCTTTATTTTACCCTCCTATTTCGTGATGCGCGATAGCGCACTGCAACTCGTGTACACTAAAATCATCGAATACTTATCGAAGTCCCCCATAACGTCAAATTCTGTAGAAGTCACCTTGCAAATCATTTTACTTCGACCAAATTATGGAAATTATCAGTAATTTTGATGGAGGAGTCGGTGAACAATTCGTCGCGTGACTGCCACGAGGGCTAATGAGGGCGGAAAAGCTTTGTATTATGGAAGACAGGGTTCTTTGCAGAGTTTAGTTACGCCCTGTCCGGTAGGCGACGAATTTTGTCGTCGCGTTGCACAGAACTCAGCACTCTAACTCGTGAAAATTAGTAAATATTACTTTTCTAAAATCCCAAAATGACAACCATTCCCTGGTTACTTTGTGCGTCACAAATTGTGTTACCAACGCTACGAACATTATTTTCTTATGTTTTTCGCGGAAACTCGCTACTTTCGATGCAACTGGACCACATTTTGCAACAAGGAACCATTCATTATTTCTGGCCCAGTTTAGAAACAACATATTGGTTTCCCTCTGCAGAAAGGTGCTTTTATGAAAGAGCCAGAGAGCATGGTTCCTCATTGCAAACTTTATTCTGCAAATAATGAAGTGTTCAATGACGATAACTTGTGGGTCAGCTGTAGATTATTCTGAAATTATAATTACAGCGAGCTTAATGCTGTAAATTTAGCGCTCAATCCTTCAACTTATTGTACTCTTTGAAAACTATACAGGAAACGACCTAAAAATTTGTAGTCGGATGGTATTTAACATCCTTATAGCGGCGTAGCGTGGCTAAATTGACAGGCAGAGCGTGTCTACCTGAACGAGTAATGTTTTTCTGCAGAGCCCATCTACTATTCAAAAATCTCCCATAAATTGCGATAAAATAGTGTCTCATGAGCGTGAGATTAAACGCATTTCCATTCTAAACGGCTTTTTTCCTCCTCACATGCACGGGAAGGAACTCTTCGGAGGAGCATAGCACTCACCTAGAATAAATTTTAGCTCCAGACGTCTTTGCCTTAGCTGTTGCCAGTACCGTCTGAGAGCCTTTATTTTTTTAAGGAATGGAAAAATATTTTTCATGAGCCGCTGAGAGTATTTTACAACCTTCGTTTAGTTTAACACACACATCATACTATAAATACATGAAGAGAATAATATATACATAAAGTAATATAGTTAGTAATATTTAAGTGCTGTGCATAAAACAGCACTTCAACTGGTTACTGCGGGTTTAAAAATCGAATAAGTCGATGTATTCTTGTCCACTCACCGAAGGTAGAAGAATTCCAGAGAAATCCTAGTATTCCCCTCAGGATTTTTGACAGTGCTTATCGCGCAGCTGGTATACATATAAACATACGCTTGATCCAGTGGCAAGGCGTGAATGATCGATCATCAATATTTCCCGATTCGAAGCTATGGTAAAGCATCAATAATTAACATATTCGCTGCAAACACCCTGTATATCGACCTTTTCCATAGGTTAACATGGCAGATCAATCGATATTTTGCGAAGCACTGGCTTGATCAACACCAACAGAAATCGCGCACGGTGGCTATTTCATTTCTTCGGGATCATGAATATCAAGAATCTAGTATCTAATGATATTATTTTTCTGTCTGTGTAGGAAACGCCTGTGATTTATCGACAAAAGCTAAGATTCCTGCCTATCAAAAATGCAGGTGATCAGTGTTTCGAAAATCATCTTTAAACCACATATCGGCCATGTTAATTTTATTTCTACGAGTTAGGAGCTGTTTAGCTTTGGAATTCAGCCGCCTGGTTGTAGATATCCCAATGTCGCAACTCTGCTAGCAGAAGCACAGTTGATTTATTCGGAAACGCTGCGAGATAATGATATTAAAAGGTGGCTCAATAGGTCTTAACCGCCGCTCCTTATCACTTGCGGAAGGGAGCTTGAGTCCCGCGGGAAATACCGCTGCAACTGACTCCGTGTTCCTGGCAATTGGTGGCCATTAACACGGAGAGAAGAACCTGTCGGTTAATATTCAGGTTGATCGGATTGAATTCAGGAAATTGCTAACCTTTAAAAGATTGTGATCAGTTTCATTTTTATCAGAAATTAGTCTTGTCCGAACTGTTATACAATACTTGATTCTATTTATCCGGGAAAAATAGCTGTTTGTGTGTCCAATGCCAAGTCAATAGCACAAATTTAATTTTGATCCCGCTAATGGAAAAAAAATTCAACTGATTTCTTAATCAGCAGGAACCTTTGCCGAATGATAGTCGCTAACTACACACATACGAGTAAAAAAAGAATGCTAGTAGATAATAAACATCTGATTATACATGATCCCCAGGAAATTAAATCAATGATGTCACTTCGCTGTTAAATAACGCCACTTCACCCACCTATTTTGTAGCTCTGACGCAAACCGTTAGTTCCGTGCGTTAAACTGATAGGAATCAAAAGCTCGGGATAAGACCTTTTTGAAATGAAGGGGGAAAAAAATAAGGTCCATGCAATTACCTGAGTATTTCTCCAATGGGCTCTCAACGCACAATATTTTGACACATTCTACCTCAAAGGGTAAAATCTGTCCAAATATCAATATTGAAAACAAATAATAACCTGCATCCCTTTGAGTAATGGTCATTTATTTAACTTTGTTCATTTCTTCTTTCAGGTGCTGCAGCAGCTTCTCGAGTGTACGTTGAGGCGATCACACGTTTGGCGAGGCAGGCGCAGCAGGGCACATGGGCAGGATCCGCTGATATAGGTGAGTTATCTACCAAGTCATTAACGGATCCAGCAAATTGGCAACATTGTATTTTCTCCATTTAAACCTATGGAAATGTATCGATTCTTGGAGGGGTCAGGTGCTCCTTCAAGAATCGATTATTTAGCATAATTTTAAACGGAGGAAAAAGTGTGTTTAAAACTGGTGTTGCCAAATTGCTGGATCCGCGTCTGTTACCAAGTCGTCGCGTTGTCACTCAATGGCCTGTCTTAAACTTCAGCTTGAGCAAAAAGAAGAGTCGTTCCCCATAGAAAATGACTGAAAAGTCACAATGAGCGCATTACAAAAGTCTGAAATACACTTACGACTTTACAATCTGCACAAGACATATGCGTTTTTTAAGCTGCCTGCTTCAATTTGGTGCGTGACATTCGAAAAAGTCTTTTCAGCCCAGATCGCGATAATGAACTGTTCGATACCAAGTGCGCAGGAGCTAATGAACGTCAGAAATTGGCAACAATTCTTTCGTTACTAGAGTTTTTTGGTCAGTCAGGGTCTTCATGGATTCAATTGCCCACATTATCCTCTCAATATTGGACCACGTTCAGCAGGAAGGAGCCAAGCCGCATCAGCTATTGCTAAACTTAACCGGGCAATTTAATTTCTCTGAAGAGAACGTTTGTGAATAATCCTTCGATAATTTTCAGGAATTTTTTCCGTAATGTGTAGAAAATTCACCGACGTTTTCACAAAAATCCGCACAACCATTTTCACGCAAGAAATTAAAATCGCCCAATGAAATTTGACAATAGCTGATGTGGCTTGTTTCCTTTCTGCTTCACGCGGTCCAATTGAACCCGTTGTTCACATTTTCTCTATGTAGGGGTACTCAATCACCGATTGTAAGTGTTCTCATTGTTGCTAATTCGTTTCATGATAAACGAATCAACACGTTTGAGAGCAGGCTCCGCTATAGAAACGCATCGGAATTTTCAGTTTTAGTGAGCGCTTAACCTGATGTTCCCAACTTCAAGCATATAAGTGAGAGGGGTCGGGCCGTATCACAATGCTGATCCACACTCCCGTGCTGAGGAAGAACACCGTATGAACATTCGAGAGTTGTCAAACTTCCTTCGATAAAATGTTAATTTTTGAGGAACGTCATGAATGTTATCCCTTGAAATTTTCCGGGTTTTTCGTGGAATTGCGAGAAAAACTAACTTAAAAATTAGAAGGAAGATATACATAAGTTTAAATGGAACTTCGTGTTTTGTCAAAGGAAATTTGACAACGCCGGAAGGTTCATACGGCGTTCTTCCTGAGCAGGGCAGCGCACGACCATGCATAATCGGATATCGGCTCGTTAAAATGATGGATGAGCTGTTAAGTAGAGGACAGTAGGGGGACAAGCAGGGGATGCTCGGAGACAGGGAGTCGGGGACCCATCAGTCATCGGCAGTTTCAGTTCCTGTTGCGCGGGGGGATTTAGCGATTAGGTCGAGCTGCGATGTATCGTGAAATTAGCCGCAGAATGCCTCTGATGTCCCCCCACCTGTCTTTATTTCTCCGGACCCGCACAGTTTAATCCTCTCGCTATTAAATAAAAACAACAGCGGGCTGATCATCGAAATTGATAGACAAAACGATAGACGAAGACTGCACACTGAAAATAAAGCGATTCTATCGGTGGATGATGGCAAATTCTGTATCAGGAAATATTTATTTTTGAAGGACGAGCATTTCCCCTTGAAATTTTCAGACTTTTTGGATCCAATTACGAACTAAATCCTCTAAAAAGTTGGACGAGGAATATTCTCAAATTTTCCTGGGAGTTCGAGCTTCGTCAAATGAAATTTGACAACGCCTGGAGGCTCATACGGTGTTTGTACTTAGCGCGGCAGTTTACCCGAGATCGGGCGGTCGTAACGTAGCATAAGTCAATAAGTTTGAACCGCGCGTTCAACCGAGCGCGAACGATCTAAAAAATCGAGGCACTTTCACACGGAAGCTCAACCACTTACGGGGGGCTCAACTTGCCGCGCATAATCTCCCCGATTCGCAACAGTCACCAGACGCGGGTGCGGGGGCGGCGAGCATCAGTGTCGGATAAACTGCACCGACCGTAAGGCGCCCCCCCCCCTTTCCCGGCCGGGAAGACGAAATCGAATTCCGATGCGATGCTACTTTTATTAAATATCTACACTGTTAGCCCGAGTCATTTCCCCCGCTCCCCGGCGGCTCGGGGGAGGAAAATTGCTAAAATAGAAAATTAGCTTTCTAAGTGGGATTCCTTCAAGATCCCTATTTTATTTTCACGCTTTTTTTCGCCGGCGCGCCCCGCCCCTCTTCCGCTTCGACGGGCTCGAGAACGCGTCAGCTCCCAGACGAAGGAACGTAACTCCGTCCAAAGGTTGCCAAATTGGCTCAAAAAAATCAATTTTTTTACTAAAGTATACCTGTGAAATTTGTTTTTAAAAATTTGTTTGATTTTCGCCTGAGATCAGGAAAAAACTCTGTGAAATTTTCAATTACTAATGCCCAAGATTCTTCCGGGAAAAATGCAATTTACGAGGGGAGATTTGGCAACATTGAAATTCACTTACGTTCTTTCGTGGAGGAAACAACGAACTGAGAGCCGAGTCGATGGAGGGGGGGGGGGGGGTGCCGCCCGCGCCGACACATTAGTATTTATTTATTTTGGTTTTTTCTTTCCCCCTTTCTCCCCCTCGCGTATTTATTTTGTATTGTTTTTCGTCTCCCTACCCCCTCCCCCTCTTTTTGCTGGCTGCATCTCGACGAGTTCGACCCTACGAGTATCGTTTCTTGACGCGAGCGCTCTGCGAGGCGGCGGGTCGAATTATCAAGTCGGAGTGTTTCCGTATCGTTTCGCGGCGAGGAATTTTTCGATTTTGACGTCGGCCTCTTTTCTCTTTTAAAAACCTATTACTTCTGGTTGTCCGGGTCGGGTTGGGGGATGAAAACGAAATTGGAGTCTTTTGCTGACACGAGGCGGGCTTGCCACGTTTGATAACTTCAACTCGTGCGAGATGGTCATTTAATTCAGTCGGAATGTTCGTCGCAGAAGGCGTTCATTTCCCACCAGGGAAACTTATAACTCTTCTCAATGAAATTAACACGAAGACTTTTTATGTTTAAAGTACGCACTAAAATTTTTTAGGGATGAAAGCAATAATACATTGTATTGCATCGTGGATTGAGGGAATGAGGCAGGAATGAGGAGATGCGATCTGCCGGAGGAGCTCTGGCAGGATCGCTATCAGAGGCGGTTGAGTGTTGCAGAGCGCACAGAAGCGCTAGATGAGCGACTTGTTAGTTAGTAGCAGTAATACATTATTTTTCCAGAGGAAAACTGCTAAGCGCATTTTATAGCTAAGAGATTCGTGAACGGTGTGTTTTATACTAAATACAATGGTGAAGCGCGCAATCTTATGTGGGCAGCAATGTGAAGGCCGACTCAAAAAATTTGAATGGAATGTGAAGGCACTTAATTATATTAGAAGAAGGCTGCCTAAAAAATTTGAAAGCAAAAAAATTTCTGCACCCCTGCAGACTGCGAATAGAAGCAAAATTTACTCATGATAAGTAAAGAAACTGGAGGAAACTTCGCAACTCTGAACAATCCTTACTCAGAAAGTTGTAATTTCATGTTAGACGGTCGGTTCGGCCTATTGCCGTCCAACTTTAACGTCACGTGCGATGAGGATGTACAAAACTGTCGCACTGTCGTATCATGACAAATATCAACCTAGACGTGACGTGCAAGGGGACCAGGATTATAAACACCTTCGATTTTTTGAGACAAATTGCTTGATTATCTGAGAAAATCGACTCGTCAATAAGCCGGCATTTTTAGTTCCATTTGCCACGAAAAAATCTTACAAGGCAGACCTACAACAAAGTAGGAAATTATGATGATTTCAAATTTTTTAAAAAAACACACACATTAGTACTAGGTATAACGAAACCTGCATCACTACTGGGTCAGTTGCGCCGAATGGACCCTCTTCAATATGTTTTGCATCATGGTTTGTGGCAAATCGCCAAAAAAAGTGTTCCGCATCCTTTTTTTTTATCGAAATTGTCTAATTATATTCTTGCAAATTTTTGCATGGTTTGAGTCAATTTTTCAACCTTGAAACGGGTTCACATTTCTTCATCCAGGACCGACTCACAGTGGATCGAGTCGAAAGGAAAGGAAGGAAAATAATCGTCATAGTGAAATAATCGACATAGTGAAATAATCGACGTAGTGAAATAATTGACATAGTGAAATAATCGTCGTAGTGAAATAGTCGACCCAGTGAAATAATCGACCTAGTGAAATAATCGACGTAGTGAAATAATCGACGTAGTGAAATAATCGACGTAGTGAAATAATCGACGTAGTGAATTAATCGACCTAGTGAAATAATTGACATAGTGAAATAATCGACATAGTGAAATATTCGTCATAGTGAAATAATCGACATAGTGAAATAATCGACATAGTGAAATAATCGACACAGTGAAACAATCGAAACAGTAAAATAATCGACCGATAATAATAATCGAATAATCGAAATAATCGAAAGGAAGGAGGTCGGGAAAAATTCGGAAACTTTAAACGCAAATAACTCCATTTATACAAATTTTTGAGGTTCTAAAAGTGGTTTCAATGGTTTTTTCGTCAAATTTTCTTTCTAAAGGCCCCCTTGCAATTTAAAATGTAACGAAATAAACATCAAAATTTGCAGTTTTAGTAAAAAAAATCATGTCCGACCTCTCTAATTGACTCGATCCACTGCGCGACGGTTTATTATTCAGACTTGGCACGGAGTAGTCCTGACGCATAACTGAATGGGTAAATCAACGCAGAACGCTCGTTCGGAAGGAGGGGGAGGGGTGGGGGTTGGGAGGCTATCCCAGAAGAAGGACGAAACTTTGGGGTTTCGGGGACGGGGAGGAGGCGCGGTAGGCGAAGTTTTGGCAAATGGCCGATGCATCGTGGTCCGAGGCTCCGAGCGGGATTGGCCACCGTC